TTCAGAGTTAATGTGATATGTCCCACCATGTTTTAAGCAAAGGTGACATTTCCCTCTCGCAAAGAAACACTGGGGTATTGTGGAGGACAGTTCACTTGACTGTCACTCATTTCAAATGACAAGTTCTGACTTCTCTTAATGCAATACTGACCATGAATCACTATGCTGACCTTCCATGATTCACAGATTGGCCCCTGAAGGGCTGAGAGACCTTCTCTGTTGGGGTTAGGAGTAACTGCCAATCCTCCGCCACTCACATTTATCAACATGGTAAACTTGGATCCATGGGATCCTTCCTATAAGGAAAGGACTGCAATAGCCAGTAGTATTGGTAGTGTTTACTCATCATTCAGTCTTCTAATTGACCTATCCTGGTTTAGATTTAAGAGCTGGACTCAACATCGCATTACATAACTCAATGAGCAAATATTTGCAAACACAAATTACTAATAAACAGAGGACTGCACAATAATCTGCTTCTCCATCTGCACCGCTGGAGGGTTTGCATAACCTACATCCAGGGAGAAAGGTTGGGATGAAGTCAGTCACTGAGGATACAGAATAGTGTGTGTGTGTGTGTGTGTGTCTGTGTGTGTGTGTGTGTGTGTGTCTTATTGAAAGATAATGGGGCATGGGACACACAGTAGTGGAAGTGAATAATGAATGAGTCACCAGGCAGCATCACATCTGATCACGTCACATCTGCATAGTGGGTGGCATTGGGATTCCCACCCCAAAATAAACATTCCGAAATCAGGTTTATCAAGCCGATTCACAAATGCAGATCACTATGATTCATCAAATCAGCCTATCATGTCACACCCTGATCTGTTTCACCTGTGTCGCCTATCTTCCCCATTATCCCCAGTGTATTTACAGTGCTATGAAAAGGTATTTGCCCCCTTTCTAATTTTCTCTACTTTTGCATATTTTTGATACTGAATGTTATCAGATCTTCAACCAAAACCTAATATTAGATAAAGGGAACATAAGTGTTCAAATAACACAACAATTACATATTTATTTCATAAACAAAGTTATGCAACACCCAATTCCCCTGTGTGAAAAAGTAATTGCCCCCTTACCCTCAATAACTGGTTGTGCCACCTTTAGTTGCAATGACTCCAACCAAATGCTTCCTGTAGTTGTTGATCAGTCTCTCACGTCGCTGTGGAGGAATTTTGGCCCACTCTTCCATGCAGAACTGCTTTAACTCAGTGACGTGTGGGTTTTCAAGCATGAACTGCTCGTTTCAAGTCCTGCCACAACATCTCAATTGGGATTAGGTCTGGACTTTGACTAAGCCATTCCAAAACTTCAAATTTGTTGCTTTTTAGCAATTTTCATGTAGACTTGATTGTGTGTTTTGGATCATTGTCTTGCTGAATGACCCAGCTGCGCTTCAGCTTCAGCTCACAGACGGATGGTTTGACATTCTCCTGTAGAATTCTCTGATACAGAGCAGAATTCATGCAGTGTTTGGTTTTCGCCAGGCATAATGGGACCCATCTCGTCCAAACTCTGCATTCCACAGTAAGAACATCATACCAAAGGTCAAGCATGGTGGTGGTGGTGTGATGGTTTAGGGATGCTTTGCTGCCTCAGGACCTGGACGACTTGCCTTAATAGAAGGAACCATGAATTCTGCTCTGTATCAGAGAATTCTACAGGAGAATGTCAGACCATCCATCTGTGAGCTGAAGCTGAAGCGTAGCTGGGTCATGCAGCAAGACAATGATCCAAAACACACAATCAAGTCTACATGAAAATTGCTAAAAAGCAACAAATTGTAAGTTTTGGAATGGCCTAGTCAAATTCCAGACCTAATCCCAATTGAGATGTTGTGGCAGGACTTGAAACGAGCAGTTCATGCTTGAAACCCCACACGTCACTGAGTTAAAACAGTTCTGCATGGAAGAGTGGGCCAAAATTCCTCTACAGCGACGTGAGAGACTGATCAACAACTACAGGAAGCATTTGGTTGGAGTCATTGCAGCTAAAGGTGGCACAACCAGTTATTGAGTGTAAGGGGGCAATTACTTTTTCACACAGAGGAATTGGGTGTTGCATAACTTTGTTTATGAAAAAAATTAAATAAGTATGTAATTGTTGTGTTATTTGTTCACTTATGTTCCCTTTATCTAATATTAGGTTTTGGTTGAAGATCTGATAACATTCAGTATCACAAATATGCAAAAGTAGAGAAAATTTGAAAACATTTCCCCTTGCTCCTGTCTTTCTCAAGTTCCTGTTTTCTAGTTTTCCCGGTTTTGACCATTCTGCCTGCCCTGACCCTGAGCCTGCCTGCTGTTCTGTACCTTGTTACACCACCCTGGATTATTGACCTCTGTCTACCCTGACCCTGAGACTGCCTGCCGTTCTGCACCTTTTGGGCTCTGATCTGGATTACTGACCTCTGGCTGCCCTTGACCTGTCGTTTGCCTGCCCCCTGTTTTTGTAATAAACTTTTGTTACTTTGACACTGTCTGCATCTGGGTCTTCTCCTGAAACGTGATATATCAGTTCCATTTTGTAACTAATTTCATGTATCTGCTTGTGTTCCCTCATATTAAGCCTCACATTGATGTGATTAGCTGTTTTCTTTTCAGGATAACCAGGGCTACAAGTAGAATGAAAAAGAATTTGACATAAAAAAGTTACATTCATGAGTTTTATTCACTAACCACAGCATTGTCCTCACAGTGCATGATTATCCATCGAACTATGGGGAACAAAGTGCAGCTATATCTGCTTGTGCTCCCTCATATTTAGCCACACATTTAAGTGATTTGCTGTTTTCTTTTCAGGACAACCAGGGCTACAAGTAGAATGAAGTTAATGAGTTTTATTCACTAGTGTCACTTCAAAGATGAGGTCCGCCAAACAAAAACCTGATAGAAAAAGCATTTATAAGAATAATGTAAGTACAGGAAATGTTGGCTCAGTGTGAAATGTATATTCAAATAGTCTGTGACAACTGTATTCAATTTGAAGTTTGTGACAGCAACAATATGAGTCACAGTATTAGACACTATTCCCTGGGTGGAAATGTATCAAATGTACTGTTATATCCACAAAACCCATTGTCTTATACCAATGCCTGTTGTCTGTTTGTCACTGTTTGAAGTCTGTCTGACAGCTAGCTATAAGAAAGCTCAGGAAAACCTCAGGAATGATCACAATGCACTACTTCTTTATGATCTTGTATGTCGAAAAACTATTACATTCTAACGAGTCCTGTGTTCGTGAATGTTATCTAAGCTTTCTATGATGGGGTCATAATAGTCTGTAGTTCAAACCGATCCGCCTTTAGATTTTCGGGATGTTGTCTTACAAACTCCGCTCTAGCGCAGCTGCCGTCTACCACAGAGATGAGTGGCTGCTATGGGCGGATCCAGAACAAATAGACGTCTTAACCATGTACAGTAGCTCAAACAGGCGATTCAGGAGGTGTTCAGAACCATTCAAATGTCGCCTGCGCCGAATTGGGACGGATACGATTAATTTGTAAATCAGGAAGTGCTGGAGAAAATGTGCATCGGTTTTAACATAGGCCTACAAAGATGCCATGAATGCGCATTACAATGCATCATAGACTAACCTACATCAATTATTTCTGAGCAGATTGGATATACAGTTTATTACCCAGGTCTGCATGACAATGGCCAAAACAGATCTGGAACCAGGCTAATGCAGCAACGTATAGCACCTACAGCAGTGACGCACACTAATGAGACGCACACTCTAAAGCCTCAAAAGGTAACTACATATGGGAGAAGTCCCAGGAAGACGTAATGTTGGCCTGTGTACCGCGCACGCGTAACTATCAATTCAGGACCATGGACAGTTACCTCGAGTCATTGCGAAAGAAATACAGAAGCGTCTAGCCGCACCTGGACAGAACCGCACCTGTAGTGACTGCCATGATGTTTCCACATGCTATGGTTCCATGTACCCTTTCCCCAAGAATGTTGAATTGTAAACTGATAGGGAATACATATGAAGATTATTGAAACCACTTCTCCAGATTTCATTGGTATTCACGCACGCACACACAGGCCACATATGCACGCCCACACACACGCGCGCACACACGCGCGCACACACGCACGCACGCACGCACACACACACACACACACAATAAGCTCTGTGCCAAAATGAAGGACCATAAACCTACCACATGGCCTCTTGGGCCTTACCTTGGTCTCATTGTAATTCCACTCCTCCAATTGCGTGTCTCGCCAACCTCCCAGTCATCACCTACCCTATGTTTGGAGCACCATCTATTGGTTCATACTGGCTAAGACAACTGTCCCTTCAAATAATAATTTCAAAATATACTAGCCTTGGCTTTATTGTTATTGATTAATGTGCTGTTAGTACATGATATTGCTGCTCTTTGCTGGAATGATAACGACATGTTGTTTTAATTGCCAGCCAGTGAAATGTAATGGAGGGGAAGGCACAAGGCAGTCTGGAATAGATATTCTCCGACAAAAAATTATATATATTTTATAAAAACATTTATTTAAACTATAGGCTATGTCATATGCCAGAAAAGGCCTTGCCACCCCTCTGAGCGTGGTTCCTCTCTAGGGTTCTTCCTAGGGAGGTTATCCCTTCGTTCCGCAACTAGCCATTTAAATTAACATTTCTATAACACATTTGACTTTTACTTAGCCATCTGTAACAGTAAAAGTAAAAGTAATAATACAAATATATATTTTTTTAATTTAAATGGATAGTTGCGGGACGAAGCTTCCTGGCCACTGTGCTTCTGCTTCTGCATTGCTTTCTTTTGGGGATTTAGGCCGGGTATCTGTAAAGCAATTTGTGACAACTGCTGATTTAGACTACAAATTAGGATCTTTATTAGAGTTATGCCATAAAAAAATCACTGGTCCACATTGTCAGGCCATGGTGGAACGGTTTTACGCTCGGTAAGGCGAGATCATTATGGGCGAGACCGATTAACGGATCCGTACCCGGAAGTGGGTGGTTGAGTCACTGACTGGTTACCACCGCATAGATACTGCCTGCTGGGATGAGGCAGATAACCGGAGAATCGCAGAGATTGCTAGAAATGTGAGAAACCGAAAATCTGAGGCACAACTAATCACACTATTGGCCCAACACACGGCGCTGCCGTATAATTACCGAGGCATAAACGTTAGAACGAACACGTCGCCAAAATGATGGAAGAGATACCGGTAGATAGATTTCAGGTGCCGAGCGCTGTCCAGGGAGAGATGCAGCCGCTTGTAAGTGGAATGTCTTTTTTTCCTTGTGATTATAAATTAATGCATAGGCTAATATATTCTGTTCCTATATTATGAGACTAAGCTAGCCTACTACGCGTTTGACGCCATAAATGTTGCCTATAATGGATTGTTGAATTTAGATATTGGCCTGGTGTTATTTTGAAGCATTTTTTTTGCTCTCTGATGAAGGGAACACATGTCGCATTAATCTTGGTAGGCAACCATAAGGTCAATAAAAGAATATGCCTGGCTTTATGGCGATGAGAAGCGAATTTAGAGAAGACCTTGATCAATAGGCTATCTGTTTTTTAAGAGATTGAGATGGTGAGCTGCGTAGTGTTCATCCGTGATGCCTACACCCTCTCAGAGCCATATCTGCTCTGGGGACAAGCATAGGCCTGTGAGGCAAAGGCCAGCTTTAACACTGTCACTGCAAAAATTCTAAGTAGTTGATTGGAATGTATGTGACAGATGATGTTATTATTGAATTGTAGGCTATTACTGAACATCACAAAGCAATCGGGTAGCCTATCAGAGCAACTAAGGCCTAGCTGATGTTCGATTAATTCATCATGCAGAGACTGCGTGGAGCGGTACCCTCCACGACAGCATATGTCGTATTTAACTCTGAATCAAACCCACTGGTTCGCATCAGATACTGGGCGTATAGTGCTGTGTCTCGTCAGTAGGCTTTCTTAGTTTGCTGTACAGAGTTCGTTTCTCAGGGCCCTGGGGTATAGTTGAACCTACTGAAGGGCCTGTCTGTATCCGCGCTGGCATAGCTTTTGGGAGCTATGAGTGAAATGTGCATCATGGGAGTCGATGAATGGACTGTGTGCAATGAAGATGTGACTACCTGACAACCTTTGATGTGTGTGTGTGTGCATATGGGCTTGTATTTATTAGCCTAAACAATGTCATAAACATCCCAGAACATATGTATGGGAGTCATCTCTCTCTCTCTCTCTCTCTCTCTCTCTCTCTCTCTCTCTCTCTCTCTCTCTAGGATCCTGCATCATCCTCAGCTTCTTCTGAGGCAGACTTAGACACAAGGGAGGGGGAGCCAGTCACTATTAACTACAAGCCCTCTCCTCTGCAGATGAAGATAGGTGAGTGTAAGAAGGATCAGCAAAACCTACTGCCTGCGTGTTTATTTCAGCACCTTGGACAGGGGTTACATGACTGGAGAGCAATACAAAGACATGGGGAGGAATACACGATAGAAAGGTGCAATACAAAGGCTAGGTGTAGTGGAGTCGAGGCTCAATCATTCCCAAAACCATATTACTAAAATTAAAAGCATAAATATAAACACATTGACACATCTCATTGTGATGTCCAGTCTGTAAAATCATTGAATGACTCAAGAGTAGAAAGGAGCATTTCCAGGTAGCATCTGTTAGGTAGTAAATTTAGCAATTTTGGAGTAAGTCATGTCTTTGATGACCAATCCCTCCTCATGATATCCTTTCAACAAATATGTTCCCATAACATATGCGAAGAGGGAGGGACTCCTATTTTTTGGATGGTCCTGGTCCCACAGATTTCCGCCCCAAGCCCCAGACGTTCTGGTATATCAAAACCTCAAACTAGCCGGCTGCAGCCATTAGCCCAATGTATGTTTTCCTCCATACATCTGTGCGTGATGCAACATTAAGATTGTAAAACATTTATTTGAATATGTTGTGTATTTTTTATTGGGAACGTTTTGCCCACAAGTGCAACACATCACCCACAGATTTGGATACTGGGTCGTTCCACCAATTCAGTGCCTTTTTAGAAGTGTAACTTTATTTAAAAAACACCTTTTCCCATCTCAAGAGTTTAAATTTGAAAAAATCTTTAGTAAGTGCCTATTAAGTGCCAAATAAAGTAACAGGGTTGACCATAACAGGGTTGATCATTTCATCTTAAATCAGCCATAAATTCCCTTGTGACAGGGGGAACGTAAGCTTGTTTTGTGCAACAGGGAGTGCCAATTGAATGCTAGCATCACAACAAATTGGACATTTAAAAAATATTTCTAGCCTGTCTATCTCAAGTTTCATGTTTATATTGTCACGTGCAGAAGTACAGTGAAATGCCTTTCTTGCAAGCTCTTTCCCAACAATGCAGTAATCAAAATCAGTAGTACTATAAAAAAAGTAAAGTAGAACAAAAAAACATGAGAAATAAAAATAACAAGAACACGAGAAAGTAAGTAAGCTATATACAGGGCAGTGGTGTGAAAAGTACCCAATTTTCATACTTGAGTAAAAGTAAAGATACCTTAATAGAAAATGACTCAAGTAAAAGTGAAAGTCACCCAGTAAAATACTACTTGAGTAAAAGTCTAAAAGTATTTGGTTTTAAATGTACATAAGTATCAAAGGTAAATGTAATTGCTAAAATATACTTAAGTATCAAAAGTAAATGTATAAATCATTTCAAATTCCTTATATTAAGCAAACCAGACAGCATCATTTTCTTGTTTTAAAAATGTACGGATAGCCAGGGGCACTCCAACATTCAGACATAATTTACAAACAAAGCATGTGTTTAATGAATCCGCCAGATCAGAGGTAGTAGGGATGACCAGGGATGTTCTCTTGATAAGTGCATGAATTGGAGCGTTTTCCTGTCATGCTAAGCATTCAAAATGTAATGAGTACTTTTGGGTGTCAGGGAAAATGTATGGAGTAAAAAGTACAATATCTTCTTTAGGAATGAAGTGAAGTAAAAGTAGTCAAAAATATAATTAGTAAAGTAAAGTACAGATACCCCAAAAAACTACTTAAGTAGTACTTTAAAGTATTTTTACTTAAGTACTTTACACCACTGATACAGGGTCAGTTCCAGGGTCAGTACCAATACCATATTTACAATGTGCGGGGATACTGGAGTGGTAAGGGTAGATATGTATAGGGGTAAGGTGACTAGGCATCAGGATATTTGATAAACAGATTAGCAGCAGCGTATATGATGATTGTTTGAGTGTGTGTGCGTGTGTGTAGAGTCAGTATAAATGTGTGTGCGTGTTATGTGTGTGTGAGCAAATTAAGTGTGTGTGTGTTGGAGTGTCAGTGTGAGTAAGTGTTTAGAGTCCTGTGAGTATGTAGAGTCATTGCAAAACATTTTAGAAAATAGAACGGTCAATGCAGATAGTCGATGTAGCCATTTTGGTAGCTATTTAGCAGTATTATGGCTTGGGGATAGAAGATGTTCAGGAGGCTGTTGGTGTCAGACTTGTTGCTCCGGTACCGCTTGCCATGCGTAAGCAGAGAGAACAGTCTATAGCTTGGGTGGCTGGAGTCTTCAAAAAAATGTCGGGCCTCCCTTTCACACCGCCTGATATACACTACATGGCCAAAATTAATGGATTAGGCTATTTCAGCCACACCCGTTGCTGACAGGTGTATAAAATCGAGCACACAGCCATGCAATCTCCATAGACAAACATTGGTAGTAGAATGGCCTTACTGAAGAGCTCAGTGACTTTCAACGTGGCACCGTCATAGGATGCCACCTTTCCAACAAGTCAGTTCGTCAAATTTCTGCCCTGCTAGAGCTACCCCGGTCAACTGTAAGTGCTGTTATTGTGAAGTGGAAACGTCTAGGAGCAACAACGGCTCAGCCACGAAGTGGTAGGCCACACAAGCTCACAGAACGGGACCGCAGAGTGCTGAAGCACGTAGCGCGTAAAAATCGTCTGTCCTCGGTTGCAACAGTCAATACCGAGTTCCAAACTGCCTCTGGAAGCAACGTCAGCACAAGAACTGTTCGTCGGAAGCTTCATGAAATGGGTTTCCATGGCCGAGCAGCCGCACACAAGCCTACGATCACCATGCGCAATGCCAAGTGTCGGCTGGAGTGGTGTAAAGCTCGCTGCCATTGGACTCCGGAGCAGTGGAAACACGTTCTCTGAAGTGAAGAATCACGCTTCACCATCTGGCAGTCCGACGTACGAATCTGGGTTTGGTGGATGCCATGAAAACGCTACCTGCCCCAATGCATAGTGCCAACTGTAAAGTTTGGTGGAGGAGGAATAATGGTCGGGGGCTGTTTTTCATGGTTTGGACTAGGCCCCTTAGTTCCAGTGAAGGGAAATCTTAACGCTACAGCATACAATGACATTATAGATGATTCTGTGCTTCCAACCTTGTGGCAACAGTTTGGGGAAGGCCCTTTCCTGTTTCAGCATGAAAATGCCCCTGTGCACAAAGTGAGGTCCATACAGAAATAGTTTGTCGAAATCGGTGTGGAAGAACTTGACTAGCCTGCACAGAGTCCTGACCTCAACCCCATCAAACACCTTTGGGATGAATTGGAACGTTGACCGCGAGCCAGGCCTAATAGCCCAACATCAGTGCCCGACCTCACTAATGCTCTTGTGGCTGAATGGAAGCAAGTCCCCGCAGCAATGTTCCAACATTTACTGGAAAGCCTTCCCAGAAGAGTGGATGCTGTTATAGCAGCAAAGGGGGGGCAACTCCATATTAATGCCCATGATTTTGGAATGAGATGTTCGACAAGCAGGTGTCCACATACATTTGGTCATATAGTGTATGTTAATGTGGGCTATTTTTAGCACTTTTCTGGGATTCTTGATTTTGATTGCTTTCCTGGGAGGCTTATCAGAGATAGACATGACAGTGATATTTATGTTGGAGCTGATAGTGCAGCGTGAGCTGCACACAGTGGGCTTCCTACTAGGGCAAACCGCCTCAGTGCTAACAGTATAACTCAGGTTCATAGGCACATGTTTACTGCATACAATAGCTGTAGGAGGCATTCAGGGGAGTTAGAGGGACATACATTAGGTTACTTATATTATGACTGCCAACGCCCCTGGGACAATGTACATTTGCAGCATCACTATGACAATTCAGCGACACAATGGTAGGGATTATCTGAGCAGGGCTTGGGTCACTGATAAGTCATTGTCTCAACGCAGCCTTGAAATGCGTGGACATGGTCCAGGAGCCATGTTGTTTCGGATGGACGCCGTCATTCCTGTAGAGCATCTTCTTTTTCCTGTCCTTTAGCTATAAGGTTAGGATGACACAGTACTGACTCAAAACCAGATGACAAGTTGAATGGCGTCAGGAAACTGCTCAGCTGAGAGCTGCCATGCCAGGATTGTGTCTGTGACTGTACTGTATACACTGAGTGTACAAAACATTAGGAACACCCGCTCTTTCCATGACAAAGACTGACCAGGTGAATCCAGGTGAAAGCTATGATCCCTTATTGATGTCACTTGTTAAATCCACTTCAACCAGTGAAGATGAAGGGGTTGAGACAGGTTAAAGAATGATTTATAAGGCTTGAGACAATTGAGACATGGATTGTGTATGTGTGCCATTCAGAGGGTGAATGGGCAAGTACAAAATATTTAAGTGCCTTTGAACAGGGTATGGTAGTAGGTGCCAGGCACACCGGTTTGAGTGTGTCAAGAACTGCAACGCTGCTTGGTTTTTCACACTCAACAGTTCCCTGTGTGTATCAAGAATGGTCCAGCCAACTTGACACAACTGTGGGAAGCATTGGAGTCAACATGAGCTAGAATCCATGTAGAATGCTTTCGACACCTTGTAGAGTCCATGCCCCGACGAATTGAGGCTGTTCTGAGCACGAAAGGGGGTGCAACTCAATATTAAGAAAATGTTCCTAATGTTCTGTAAACTCAGTGTATTTTTGTCCATCTTCTAATGTCACATTCTGTGATGTGCAGAGAAACAGCGCGAGCTGGCCAGGAAGGGATCAATGAAGAATGCCAATGCAGGTAGTCCAGTGAACCAGCAGCCCAAGAAGAACAATGTGATGGCCAGAACACGGTGAGAGCTGACCTCGGTCCTGACTAGGGCCTTCTCCATTTTGGCCCTTCATTCATTCTTTTTTTTCTTCATATATCCCTCTTCAACCTCTCCTGTTTCTTTCACTCACTCTCTTTTTTTTCATCCTGGTCTGCTCTACCTCTTCTTCCTTGTGTCCTCACTCTCCTGCCCACCTCTAACTCTTCCCTCTCTCTTTCACTCACTCCCTCTCTCCTCTCCACAGGCTGGTGGTGCCCAATAAGGGCTACTCCTCCTTAGACCAGAGCCCTGATGAGAAGCCCCTGGTTGCACTAGATACAGACAGGTATGTGACAACATCAATGACAGTCATACACAGACAATGGGAAATGTCCACCATCACCATTTACTCTCAGACCTGCCAACATACTGTAGATACAGTATTTAGGTTATGGGCAGTGTGTGAGGTTAACATAAATATAAGATCAACAGTGATGACATGAATCTATGCAAATGACCATACACTTCCATTTATGTTGCAGTGACGATGACTTCGACATGTCCAGATACTCCTCATCGGGATACTCCTCAGCCGAGGTGAGATGTGTGAGGGCCCAGGTACCTATGCACTCTGGGTAACACTACTTAAGCCCGGTAAAGATACAACAGCCGACATAAGGAGAGACTAGGCGAGACAAATCTAACCAATTTTGTGTAGAACAGCTGACTAAGGACAGCTGCATTCAAATAAAACATTTTGAGACAAACTGTTGAGACGGTTTCCATGGTGATGATACCTCTTTACAATGACATAATACAACTTTGAAACCAAGTTGCCACTAGTTGTGGCAAGGTGTTGTAGCAAACGAGTACCATGAAATACATGCACCAGAAATAGGGCACACATTCTGCTAGGCTAGATAGCTAACTGCAGCAAAATACAGTCAGATCCAATATTATTGGCACCCTTGATAAAGATGAGCAAAGAATTATACAAATACTGAGCAAAATTGTATGGAAATAGTACAATTGTATTCATTTATACTAATACAAATCAAATCAAATCATATTTTATTTGCCACATGCGCCGTATACAACATTACAGTGAAATGCTTACAAGCCCTTAACCAGCAATGCAGGGTTTTTTTTTAATAAAAAAGTAAAATAAAAAAAGTTAAGTAAAAAAATAAAAACTAATAATTAAAGAGCAGCAGTAAAATAAAATAACAGTAGGGAGGCTATATACATGGGGGTACCGGTACAGAGTAAATGTGCGGGGGCACCGGCTAGTCGAGGTAATTGAGGTAATATGTAGATGTGGGTAGAGTTAAAGTGACTACGCATAAATAATAAACAGAGTAGCAGCAGCGTAAAAGAGGGGGATGGGGTGGGGTGGGGTGGGGGGGGGCAGTGCAAATAGTCTGGGTAGCCATGATTAGCTTTTCAGGAGTCTTATGGCTTGGGGGTAGAAGCTGTTGAGAAGCCTTTTGGACCTAGACTTGGTGCTCCGGTAGCGCTTGTCGTGCGGTAGCAGAGAGAACGGTCCATGACTAGGGTGGCTGGAGTCTTTGGCAATTTTTAGGGCCTTCCTCTGACACCGCCTGGTATAGAGGTCCTGGATGGCAGGAAGCTACCGCCTGGTATAGAGGTCCTGATTGGCAGGAAGCTTGGCCCCAGTGATGTACTGGGCCGTACGCACTACCCTCTGTAGTGCCTTTGCGGTCAGAGGCCGAGCAGTTGCCATACCAGGCGGTGATGCAACCAGTCAGGATGCTCTCGATGGTGCAGCTGTAGAACCTTTTGAGGATCTGAGGACCCATGCCAAATCTTTTCAGTCTCCTGAGGGGGAATAGGCTTTGTCGTGCCCTCTTCACGACTGTCTTGGTGTGTTGATAGTTTGTTGGTGATGTGGACATCAAGGAACTTGAAGCTCTCAACCTGTTCCACTACAGTCCTGTCGATGAGCATGGGGGCGTGCTCAGTCCTCTTTTTTTTCCTGTAGTCCACAATCATCTCCTTTGTCTTGATCACGTTGAAGGAGAGGTTGTTATACACGTTATGGCACCACACGGCCAGGTCTCTGACCTTCTCCCTATGGGCTGTCTCATCATTGTCGGTGATCAGGCCTACCACTGTTGTGTCGTCTGCAAACTTAATGATGGTGTTGGAGTCGTGCCTGGCCATACAGTCATGGCTGAACAGGGAGTACAGGAGGGGACTGAGCACGCACCCCTGAGGGGCCCCGTGTTGAGGATCAGCGTGGTAGATGTGTTGTTACCTACCCTTACCACCTGGGGGCGGCCCGTCAGGAAGTCCAGGATCCAGTTGTAGAGGGAGGTGTTTAGTCCCAGGGTCCTTAGCTTAGTGATGAGCTTTGAGGGCACTATGGTGTTGAATACTGAGCTGTAGTCAATGAATAGCATTCCTATTAGTGTTCCTCTTGTCCAGGTGGGAAAGGGCAGTGTGGAGTGCAATATAGATTGCATCATCTGTGGATCTGTTGGGGCGGTATGCAAATTGGAGTGGGTCTAGGGTTTTGGGATAATGGTGTTGATGTGAGCCATGACCAGCCTTTCAAATCACTTCATGGCTACAGACGTGATTGCTACGTGTCGGTAGTCATTTAGGCAGGTTATCTTAGTGTCCTTGGGCACAGGGACTATGGTGGTCTGCGTGAAACATGTTGGTATTACAGACTCAGTCAGGGACATGTTGAAAATGTCAGTGAAGACACTTGCCAGTTGGTCAGCGCATGCTCGGAGTACACGGCCTGGTAATCCGTCTGGCCCTGCGGCCTTGTGAATGTTGACCTGCTTAAAAGTCTTACTCACATCGGCTACGGAGAGCGTGATCACATAGTCATCCGGAACAGCTGATGCTCTCATGCATGCTTCAGTGTTGCTTGCCTCGAAGCGAGCATATAAGTGATTTAGCTCATCTGGTAGGCTTGTGTCACTGGGCAGCTCGCGGCTGTGCTTCCCTTTGTAGTCTGCAATAGTTTTCAAGCCCTGCCACATCCGACGAGCGTCAGAGCCGGTGTAGTACGATTCAATCTTAGTCCTGTATTGACTCTTTGCCTGTTTGATGGGTCGTCAGAGGGCATAGTGGGATTTCTTTTAAGCGTCCGGGTTAGAGTCCCGCTCCTTGAAAGCGGCAGCTCTACCCTTTAGCTCAGTGCGGATGTTGCCTGTAATCCATGGCTTCTGGTTGGGGTATGTACGTACGGTCACTGTGGGGACAACGTCATCGATGCACTTATTGATGAAGCCAGTGACTGATGTGGTGTACTCCTCAATGCTATCGGAAGAATCCCGGAACATATTCCAGTCTGTGCTAGCAAAACAGTCCTGTAGCTTAGCAACTGCTCAGAGAAAGAGATTTTGTTTAACAAGTAATACAAAAAATCTCTAAAAGATAGGGTTAAAAATGATTGGCACCCATGTTTTCAATACTCCAGCACCCTCCCCTTGTGAGGATAATGGCACTGAGCCTTTTTCTAAAATGTTTTATGAGATTGGAGAACACTTCGGGAGGAATCTTAAACTATTCCTCAATACAGACTCTTTCCAGATCCTTGATATCCTTCGTCTGCACTTATGGACTACCCTCTTCAATTAAACCACAGGTTTCCAATGGGGTTACAAGTCCGGAGACTGAGATGGCCATTGCAAAATGTTGATTTTGTGATCAATTAACAATTTCTTTGTGGATTTTGATATGTGTTTAGGGTTATCAGTCTTGACAAATAGCTCTATTTTCAAGTCATATGACCGTAGCACCATCTTGAGTTTGCTAAATGGCATTGGCACTTGAATTGGAACTGGTGCTATGGTCAGATGACATGAAAATATAGTTATTTGGCCATGCATACCAGTGGTAGGTTTGGCGTCGAAAAACAGATGCATATGCAGAAAAGAACATCATACTGTAAAATATGGTGGAGATCTTTGATGTTATGGGGATATTTTGCTTCCACTGGTTCTGGGGCCCTTGTTAAGGTCAACAGCATCATGAACTTTACCAAGTATCTGGACATTTTAGGCAAAAATCTGGTTGCCTCTGCCAGGAGGCTGAAACTTGCCCACCAGTGGATCTTCCAGCAAGACAATAACTGTCACGCTCGTCGGGAAGAGAGGAGGACCAAGGCGCAGCGTTGAATGCGAACATATTTATTTATATAATGATCACACGAACAAAACAACAAAATGAAAATGTGACGTCCCTGGTTACATACACAAACCAACACGGAACAAGAAACCACAATGAATGAATGCCTAACGGCTACCTAAGTATGACTCCCAATCAGAGACAACGAGCAACTAGAACCAACACACATGAAAACTCACACCCTGGCTCAACATACTAGAGTCCCCAGAGCCAGGGCGTGACAGTACCCCCCCCCCTAAAGGCGCGGACTCCGACCGCGCCAACCAAATACCACAGGGGAGGGACCGGGTGGGCACTCCGCCTTGGCGGCGGATCCGGCTCCGGGCATGATCCCCACTCGCTCTCTAACCCCCCAAAGTACCCCTGGTCCGGTCTGGCCCTGCTGACCGGAGCTGGACTGCACACTGGTGGAGCAGATTGCTCTAGCTCCAGCGTGAAGCAGCTGACCCGTGCTGAACCAGGCACCAGTGGAACAGGCACGGGCTGTGCCGGACTGACGACGCACACCACTGGCTTGGTGTGGGGAGCAGGAACGGCCCGAGCCTGGCTGACGAAACGCACCCCTGACTTGGTGCGGGGAGCAGGAGCGGGCCGAACCGGGCTGACGAAACGCACCACTGACTTGGTGCGGGGAGCAGGAACGGGCCGAGCCGGGCTGACGAAGCGCACCACTGACTTGGTGCGGGGAGCAGGAACGGGCCGAGCCGGGCTGACGAAGCGCACCACTGACTTGGTGCGGGGAGCAGGAACGGGCTGACCTGGGCTGACGAAGCGCACCACTGACTTGGTGCGGGGAGCAGGAACGGGCCGAGCCGGGCTGACGAAAACGTGACGTCCCTGGTTACATACACAAACCAACACGGAACAAGAAACCACAATGAATGAATGCCTAACGGCTACCTAAGTATGACTCCCAATCAGAGACAACGAGCTACAGCCGTCTCCGATTGGGAGCCACCCTGGCCAACATAGATATACAACAACTAGAACCAACACACATGAAAACTCACACCCTGGCTCAACATACTAGAGTCCCCAGAGCCAGGGCGTGACAATAACCCCAAGCACGCATCAAAATCCACAAAGAAATGGTTAATTGACCAAAAAATCTAAATTTTTGCAATGGCCATCTCAGTCTCCGGACATAAACCCCATTGAAAACCAGTGGTCTAAATTGAAAACGGCAGTCCATAAGCACAGATGAAGGATATCAAGGATCTTGAAAGATTATGTATGGACGAATGGTCTAAGATCCCTTCCAATGTGTTCTCCAATCTCATAAAACATTTTAGAAAATAAATAAAGAGGAGAGTGCTGGAGTATAAAAATAGGGGTGCCAATCATTTTAACCCCTGTCTTTTTAGATTTGTTCAACAAAATGTCTTTCTCTGAGCAATTGTTAGTATATTAGTATAAAATAATATCATTTTCAAAAATGTTTGAGCATATAATATAGCTCAGTATTTGTATAATTTAATTTATGCAATCTTTTTTGCTAATCTTTATCAAGGCTGCCAATAATTTTGGATCTGACTGTAGCTAGGTAGCTGTCTGCTTGGCTAGCTAGCTAACTGTTTGACTAAAACACAGAACTTCTGCGTACTGTTCTCTGATTTTCTAAACGGGACCTATCTCTTTTCAAATCTTTAGCCGACATGAGACGTTCTAAAACTAGACTGTTTAGATCAGCAAACTTTGTTCTAAAACTGCATAAAACCATCTCGTCTCGACTTTTGTATCTGTAATGGGCTTTACAGTCATGCCAAGCCATTGCCACTCACTCCCCACCACACTCACAATCTCAAGGTTCTCTCCGTTCACAAACCTAATTACAGTAAATGCGGATTACTGTTGGATAAAAATTCAGGCTACCTAATATTCATTACCCAAATATCAAACTGTCACCACAACTGACTCATTCTCCAAGCCACTTACATTACATATTTTAGCCTTATGTCTTTATCATGAAACCATTTAGCTATTGTACGAAGATGTCACGCTCGTCGAACAGAGAGGACCAAGGCGCAGCGTTGCGGGTGAACATATTTATTAACTAGATCACACGATCAAAACAATGAACGAAACGTGAAGTCCTTCGATACACAAACCAAAAGGAACAAGAAACCACAAAACACAAAGTGCAAGACAAACAGTTAAATATGGCTCCCAATCAGAGACACCCAGCTGACACTCGTTGCCTCTGATTGGGAGTCACTCAGACCAACATAGAAAATTAAACATAGACTTACACACCCTGGCTCAACATAACATAGTCCCCAGAGCCAGGGCGTGACAGTACCCCCCCCCAAAGGCGCGGACTCCGGCCGCGCCAAACAACCACAACAGGGGAGGGACCGGGTGGGCACTCCGCCTCGGCGGCGGATCCGGCTCCGGACATGACCCAGGCACGGGTTGTGCTGGACTGACGACGCACACCCCTGGCTTGATGCGTGGAGGAGGAACGGGCCGGACCGGGCTGACGAAGCGCACCCCTGACTTGGTGCGGGGAGCAGGAATGAGCCGGACCGGGCTGACGACGCGCACCACTGACCCGGTGCGGGGAGCTTGGACGGGCCGGACCGGGCTGGCGACGCGCACCACAGACTTGGTGCGGAGAGCAGGAACGGGCCGGACAGGGCTGACGACGCACACCACTGGCTTGGTGCGGGAAGCTTGGATGGGCCGGACTGGGCTGGCGACGCGCACCACAGACTTGGTGCTGAGAGCAGGAACGGGCCGTGCCGGACTGACGACGCACACCACTGGCTTGGTGCGGGAAGCTTGGATGGGCCGGACTGGGCTGGCGATGCGCACCACAGACTTGGTGCGGAGAGCAGGAACGGGCCGGGCTGGGCTGTCGACGCACACCGTAGGCTTTGTGCGTGGAGCAGGGACAGGCCGGGCTGGGCTGTCGACGCACACCACTGACTTGGTGGGAATGGCAGGAACAGGCCGGGCTGGGCTGACGACGCGCACCACTGACTTGGTGGGAATGGCAGGAACAGGCCGGGCCGGGCTGACGACGCGCACCACTGACTTGGTGGGAATGGCAGGAACAGGCCGGGCTGGGCTGACGACACGCACCACTGACTTGGTGGGAATGGCAGGAACAGGCCGGACCGTACTGGGGACACACACCACTGGCCCCACGCAGGGATCAGGAACGGGCCGGACCGGACTGGTAACACACCCCAGTACCTCTCGCCGTGCCTCCACACTTTCCCTCTCCTCTGTGCCCAGTGGCCCCCCTAACCTGGCGGCCTTCTCTGCCAACGCTTTGCACCGCTCTAACCCGTACACCTGCTGGCCCGACGTCGTGAGCCCCCCCCTAAAAATTTCCTGGGGGTCTCTCCTCCCTCTTGCCAGACTCGCAATCATCTCCTCTCACGTCCATCCTCTCTCCTCGTCACGCTGCTTGATCCAGTCGAGGTTGCCACGGAGATCTGCCAGCGATGGCTCCTGAACACGCTGCTTGGTCTGGTTAAGGTGGTTTCTTCTGTCACGCTCGTCGAACAGAGAGGACCAAGGCGCAGCGTTGCGGGTGAACATATTTATTAACTAGATCACACGATCAAAACAATGAACGAAACGTGAAGTCCTTCGATACACAAACCAAAAGGAACAAGAAACCACAAAACACAAAGTGCAAGACAAACAGTTAAATATGGCTCCCAATCAGAGACACCCAGCTGACACTCGTTGCCTCTGATTGGGAGTCACTCAGACCAACATAGAAAATTAAACATAGACTTACACACCCTGGCTCAACATAACATAGTCCCCAGAGCCAGGGCGTGACAGAAGACTATTTCCAAAAGCCTGATATGATCACTGAAGTAGGTAGACTCCAGAAACATAGTGTTTATGGATTTCCCTGTAACAATATTACTAGCCTTAGTTAAATGATGGGTACTCCTTAAAGACTCTACTTAGCAGCCTTTTTAAGTCTATGGTAACATTTCTGCAGCCGCAGTAATGTTATTGACAGTCAACTAAACCCCCCAGTAATGTGACTGACCATCCCCTACACTCCCTAGTAACATGACTGACCATCTGCTACACCCCTTAGCAACATGACTGACCATCCGCTACAACCCTAAGCAGTGTTTGGATTAGTTACTTGAAAAGGTAATACATTACATATTACTTGTTACTTTACAATATTACTTTGTGTGGAAAGTAACGCGTTATATTACTATTTATATTATTTTGCAACAAGTCGAGATCGGATCATGGAAACACGCGCCTGGTAGAGATATGATTCTGAAAGTAACGCACGCGTTGTTTGACAAAGTAACTGTAATAATATTACCCAATTTGAAAAAAGTAACTCATTACTTTACTCCCTTGCTCATAAAAGTAATCTGATTACGTAACGCATTACTTTTGTAAGCGTGTTAACCCCAACACTGCTGCTTAGTAACATGACTGACCATCCCCTACACCCCCTAGTAACATGGCTGACCATCCCCTACAGCCCTTAGTAACATGGCTGACAATCCCCTACAGCCCTTAGTAACATGGCTGACAATCCCCTACAGCCCTTAGTAACATGACTGACCATCCCCTACACCCCCTAGTAACATGGCTGACCATCCCCTACAGCCCTTAGTAACATGGCTGACAATCCCCTACACCCCTAGTAACATGTCCATATCTCCACCCTCGCAGCAAATCAACCAGGACCTGAATATCCAGCTGTTGAAGGATGGTTACCGGCTGGACGAGATCCCTGACGACGAGGACCTGGATTTGATCCCGCCCAAATCTGTCAACCCCACCTGCATGTGCTGCCAAGCCACCTCCTCCACCGCCTGTCAAATCCAGTAGCTCACACATGTGCCATGAGTTTACTCTGTCACTAGAGCAGCGACAGAGAGCATTGATAGAATATTATAATTATATAACAACAATAATTAAGACGAGGAAAATTAGAACAAAAATACACAAACATTTTCAAATAAGACTAACAGTGATTACTTCCTCCTATGGTAGGACATGCACTTCTGTTTGTGTTTGAGGCCTCTCTGATGCCTCCTCCAGGCCAATATTGTGTTAAACAAGTGAAAATGAAAACAAATCAAGGTCAGTTGATTACAAAATCATTTTTGTGTCCCTCAGAATAAGACATATTATTGTAACAGCTGCTGATCAAAGCTGCTCTGCTTACCTGACTTTAAGCTCATATTTATTGCGTTTTATTCAGTATCTTTTTTTGGTCATGGACTTTTTATTTGAAAGATCTGTATGATTGTATGTGCTGGGGTGTTTTTTGAAGATGCATATCTGGTTATGTATATCTGGTATCTGTAATTTGGTACTGAAAGCAGGGTTGTGTAGCACCGGCCTGGTCAATACACTCATTCAGTCTACCTTCTTGCCCTCTTTCTTATCTTTTTTATTGGTTTGAGGTATTTATGGTTTTGGTTTTTAGGGATGAATGTATTGCAAAGGGATGACATGCATGATGAGCACCTACTGTAAATGGATTGGGAGATTTATCTGAATTGGCTGTTTGTTCCCACATCTTACTACTGCACACTGCTATTTTGTCCATTCTTCATTGATTTATCACTTTTGAATGTCTTATTCTTGCGCATTTTAATTGGTTTGGGTTCTAAGGTGATATGCGTACATATTTCCCTAATCTGCGATGATCCTTATTCAAGAGGAAGATATAGAATTCATACATTGCTCACCTATCATTGGACTCATTCTAGAACACAATGCTTTCCCAGCTAGATTATACAATTCACCCCCATAGAGGCCAAAGGGAACAAGTGGTTGTGTAATAAAAGTATAAGCTGACTTTAAATGCTTTTTGGATACAGCCTGTTATGACATCCTACCATGCCCCTCCCACAGTGTGTCTAACTAACCACTCCCCTATTACATCCTGCTAACAAGACTTGATTGGCACAATCATTCTAAATAATGTCAAAGGAGCACACGCATACAGCGTCAACTAAATGAGTGGGAAGCTATTTATTTCACTCTCCTGATTGGTTGGAACGTGATCTAGTGATCATACGTATCATTAACTTTGAGCACTAATCCCTCACTGTCACCCTCACTCAAACACCCCTCAGAGTTGATTTGTGATTTAGAGTATGCCTGAAGTGAAGAACATTAAAACAAAATGTGTAAATGTATTGCCAGTCTCATGACTTTTAATGTATTTGAAAGGGATTTGCAATATATGAAGGTATGCATCTTTTTACATTTAGAGATTTTTTTTACGATTATGTTCTCATGTAGACACTTCCATTCCAGTATTTAACAATGTTATTGTTCTGTGTAGTGTATGATATCAATAAACACAAAGCCATCTGAACCTGCGTAGGGTGTCTCTAATGTCTACAGTCCTGGACATAAAAAAGTTCATTTTCCAAATTGCTTTGCTGCAGCCAGTTATTGTTAATATGACAAAAACTTGCAGGGTGATGGCAAGTACTAAGTACAGCTGTGGGGCTTGGCATGCACTCTCTTGACCATATGGGTAGTGTAAGGGTATGGTAATTACATCACATAGATCATACAGATGTACAAAGGTAATTGTTTTAATGTTAAAGGTCTCTAACAATTAATTACACAGGTATTTATGGTGAGCAATAGTATTATAAGTTATCCACAGGTTCATGTTGAAAATGACAGCTTCAGACTTTCAGACAATTAAAACAACTTCAAAACTTAAATCATGTTGAGCAGAAATTCAAGCTGAAAGACACAAATTATTACACTAACCCCTATACAAATAACAAAAAAATTTGAGGAATAAAACAAATAGTTAATTTCGCAGTACTGCAAATGTAGTAGTAATCTAAGATTCAACAGAACTTTACATTCTATTTAGATATTTGAACAGTTGGCAATTTGACACCAATCTCAGTTTGATGAGTATCCCATCTGTGACTTGAATACCCATTTAACTGCACTGCATCGTGGTAGCCGTGGTAACATCTGGATAAGAGCGTCTGCTAAATTATGTAAATGTAAATGTATAACATAACCATAATTAAGGCAATTCATTATCAACTACTAGCAGACACATGACTACCAAGGTGATTTATACTATCAAATTATGAAGCACTTTTCTACACAAGGCCTCTCATTGTCTGGCAGTGTAAAAACATTATCCAAATAAACAAACAATTCAGTGATGATATTGCTCACACCATCAGGGGTCACTACAGACCAGTACAAAGCTATTACTAAACAGAAAACAAACAGGGTCATGTTCAGTAGGGCACTGGGCACACAGTAGCAAAACATTTTAACAGAAAGTAAAGTAACTAGCCTACACTCTCAGAAAAAAGGGTTCCAAAAGGGTTCTTCAGCTGTACCCATAGGAGAACCCTTTTTGTATAACCCTCTGTGGGAAGGGTTCTAAATGGAACCGAAAAGGGTTCTACCTTGAACCAAAAATAGTTATTCAAAGGGTTGTCCTATGGGGACAGCTGAATAACCCCTTTTAGGTTCTAGATAGGACCTTTTTTTCTAAGAGTACTTCCACCTCCTTGTAGTGTATATTGTTGTGTGTGTTTCACACACCAGTTGGGCTCTGGTCTCCAGAGTCGGGGGAGGAGAGGAAGGCAGAGGAGCGGCGTCTTCTGACCATGGGGCCCTGAAGCATGCTGGGGTGGAAGCCTGTGTGGCGGCGTGCGTGTTTGGTCAGGTGATCACTCCTCATGAAACACTTGTCACATAGTGGGCAGGTGAAGCGCTTCTCCCCTGTATGTGTGCGGTAGTGGCGTGTCAACTCGTCTGAACGCGAAAACCTCTTAGTGCAGTCTGGCCAGGTACACTGGAATGGCCTCTCGCCTGGAGAACCATAGCCACCAAGAGAAGAAAAAGGGAATAATTGGAGTCATTCTCAGGAGTTCTCAATGACAGTATGAGAAAGGTTTTAAAAAATCTTAACAAATCAAATTAGCCAACATTGCATTCCAAAGGTGTGCAATTGAGTGGAAATGTGGGTTTTGAGACCACTTATTCATTGGCATTACAGATCAGTAACTGGAGGTGTAATACTTAATAACTTGCTATAAGCACATAAGAGCTTTTATAATATTGTATTCTTATAACAATGCTAAATACAGTAACAATAGCCTAATATGTTCTCTATGTATCAACATTTCTACTCACTCTAAACGGTAGCTATTTTGTCAGGAACATTATACGATTATTATTAAATGATCTTCAGGGGGTCCTAAATGCTCATAATAAATTATATCAGCAGGCTGTAGTGTTACCGACTGATCATTTAGCATTTGTATCACAAATAGGCCTAATTTATTCAAGTGTTTTCCTCCATGACCACATGTCTATGGAAGCCTGTTCATAATTATGAGATAGTAAATCATTATTAAGATATAGTAAGTCATAATTGTGAGATAGTAAGTCATAATTATGAGATAGTAAGTCGTTATTATTCGATAGAAAGTCATAATTCTGAGATAGTAAGTCATAATTATGAGATAGTAAGCGTGGATCATGGACATTGAATAGTCCTGCAGGTTGACCCCTTTTAAAGGGGCAATCTGCAATTCAAACAATAACAAACTCCCCGGCACTTTATTGGTAAATACATAGACACAAGGACTCTCACATATGGATGCAATTTGCCTGATGGTTTTGATATCTGTTCATCATGATCCATTACACCTCATGGCACAACAAGCTTAATACTAATATAGAAATTGACTTTTCTTTCTTTACATTTTAGTCATTTAGCAGAGAGGCTCTTATCCAGAGCGACTTACAGTTAGTGATTGCATACATTATTATTATTTATTTTGTATTTTTGATTTCATATTGGCCCCCCATAGGAATTGAACCCACAACCCTGGAGTTGCAAACACCATGCTCTACCAACTGAGCTACATCCCTGCCAGCCATTCCCTCCCCTACCATGGACGATGCAGGGCCAATTGTGCGCCGCCCCATGGGTCTCCCGGTTGCAGCCAGCTACAACAGAGCCTGGATTCGAACCAGGATCTCTAGTGGCACAGCTAGCACTGCAATGCAGTGCCTTAGACCACTGCGCCACTCGGGAGCTTTAATCATGTATATAACATTATGTGAAAGAATCACAAAGTCTTAAAATGCAAATTTACATACACCTTAGCCAAATACATTTTAACTCAGTTTTTCACAATTCCTGACATTTAATCCTAGTAAGAATTCCCTGTCTTAGGTCAATTAGGATCACCACTTTATTTTATGAATGTGAAATGTCAGAATAATAGTAGAGAGAATGATTTATTTCAGCTTTTATTTCTTTCATCACATTCCCAGTGTGTCAGAAGTTAACATACACTCAATTAGTATTTGGTTGCATTGCCTTTAAATTGTTTAACTTGGGTCAAATGTTTTGGGTAGCCTTCCACAAGCTTCCCACAATAAGTTGGGTGAATTTTGGCCCATTCCTCCTGACAGAGCTGGTGTAACTGAGTCAGGTTTGTAGGCCTCCTTGCTCACACACTCTTTTTCAGTTCTGGCCAAAACATTTCTATAGGATTGAGGTCAGGGCTTTGTGATGGCCACTCCAATACCTTGACTTTGTTGTCCTTAAGCCATTTTGCCACAACTTTGGAAGTATGCTTGGGGTCATTGTCCATTTGGAAGACCCATTTGCGACCAAGCTTTAACTTCCTGACTGATGTCTTGAGATGTTGCTTCAATATATCCACATAATTTTCCTTCCTCATGATGCCATCTATTTTGTGAAGTGCACCAGTCCCACCTGCAGCAAAGCACCCCCACAGCATGATGCTGCTACCCCCGTGCTTCACGGTTGGGATGGTGTTCTTCTGCTTGCAAGCATTCCCCCTTTTCCTCCAAACATAACGATGGTCATTATGGCCAAACAGTTCTATTTTTGTTTCATCAGACCAGAGGACATTTCTCCAAAAAGTACGATCTTTGTCCCCATGTGCAGTTGCAACCCGTAGTCTGTATTTTTTTATGGCGGTTTTGGAGCAGTTGCTTCTTCCTTGCTGAGCGGCCTTTCAGGTTATGTCGATATAGGACTCATTTTACTGTGGATATAGATAATTTTGTACCTGTTTCCTCCAGCATCTTCAGAAGGTCCTTTGCTGTTGTTCTGGGATTGATTTTTCGCACCAAAGTACATTTATCTCTAGGAGACAGAACGCATCTCCTTCCTGAGTGGTATGACGGCTGCGTGGTCCCATGGTGTTTATACTTGCGTACTATTGTTTGTACAGATGAACGTAGTACCTTCAGGCGTTTGGAAATTGCTTACCCACTGGAATTGTGATACAGTGAATTATAAGTGAAATAATCTGTCTGTAAACAATTGTTGGAAAAATTACTTGTGTCATGCACAAAGTAGATGTCCTAACCAACTTGCCAAAACTATAGTTTGTTAACAAGAAATTTGTGGAGTGGTTGAAAAACAAATTTTAATGACTCCAACCTAAGTGTATGTAAACTTCCGACTTCAACTGTATGTACATATAGGTAGGGGTAAAGTGACTAGGCAACAGGATAGATAATAGACAGTAGCAGCAGCGTTTGTGATGAGTGTGTAAGTGTGTGTGTGGCGAATGTGTGCCTCTGTGTACATGTTATGTGTGAGTGAGTGTGTGTGTATGTGTTGGAGTGTCAGTGTAAGTATGTGTGAGTGTGTGGGTGTGTGAGTCCGGCGTGTGTGTATAGAATCAAAAAGAGTTAGTGCAAAAAGGGTCAATGCAGATAGTCCGGGTAGCTATTTGGTTAAATATTAAGCAGTCTTATGGCTTGGGGGTAGAAGCTGTTCAGGAGCCTTTTGGTTCAAGACTTGGCGCTCCGGTACCATTTGCCGTGCGGTAGCAGAGAGAACAGTCTATGACTTGGGTGGCTGGAGTCTTTGACAATTTATAGGGTATTCCTCTGACACCGCCTGGTATTGAGTTCCTGGATGGCAGGGAGTTCGACCCCAGTGATGTACTGGGCCGTACGCACTATCCTCTTTAGCGCCTTGCGGTCGGATGCCGAGCAGTTGCCCTACCAAGCGGTGATGCAGCCAGATGCTCTCAAATGGTGCAGCTGTATAACTTTGAGGAGCTGAGGGCCCATGCCAAATATTTACCGCCTCCTGAGGGGGAAGAGGCATTGTCGTGCCCTCTTCACGACTGTGTTGATGTATTTGGACCATGATAGGTCCTTATGGACACCGAGGAACTTGACGCTCTCGACCCGCTCCACTACAGCCCTGTTTATGTGAATGGGGGCGTGTTCGGCCTTCCGTTTCCTGTAGTCCACGATAAGCTAATTTGTCTTGCCTACGTTGAGGGAGATGTTGTTATCCTGGCACCACACTGCCGGGTCTCTGACCTCCTCCCTATAGGCTGTCTCATCATCGCTGGTGATCAGGCCCACCACCGCTGTGTCATTGGCAAACTTGATGATGGTGTAGGAGTCTTGCACGGCCACACAGTCATGGGTGAACAGGGAGTACAGGAGGGGACTAAACACGCACCCCTGAGGAGCCCCCATGTTGAGGGTCAGCATGGTGGATGTGTTGTTGCCTACCCTCACCACCTGGGGGCGGCCCGTCAGGAAGTCCAGAATCTTAGTGATGAGCTTGGAGGGCACTATGGTGTTGAATGCTGAGCTGTAGTCAATGAATAGCATTCTCGCGTAGGTGTTCCTTTTGTCCAGGTGAGAAAGGGCAGTATGGAGTGCAATAGAGATGGCGTTATCTGTGGATCTGTTTGGGTGATATGTGAATTGGGTCCAGGGTTTCTGGGATGATGGTGTTGATGTGAGCCATGACCAGCCTTTCAAAGCATTTCAAGGCTACAGGTGTGAGTGCTATGGGGTGGTAGTCATTTAGACAGGTTACCTTGGCGTTCTTGGGCACAAGGACTAGTCTTACTCACATCAGCTACAGAGAGTATGATCACACAGTCACCCGGAACAGCTGGTGCTCTCACGCATATTTCAGTGTTGCTTGCCTTGAAGCGAGCATAGAAGGCATTTAGCTCGTCTGGTAGGCTCGCGTCACTGGGCAGCTTGCTGCTGGGTTTCCCATATTAATCTGGGATAGTTTGCAAACCCTGCCACATCCGATGAGCGCCAAAGCTGGTGTAGTAGGATTCGATCTTAGTCCTGTATTGACGCTCTGCCTGTTTGATGGTTCGTCTGAGGGCGTAGCAGGATTTTTTATAAGCGTCCAGATTAATGTCCCGCTCATTGAAAGCGGCAGCTCTAGCCTTTAGCTCAGTGCGGATGTTGCCTGTAATCCATGGCTTCTGTTTGGAATATGTATGTACTGTCACTGTGGGGACGTCAATGCACTTATTAATGAAGCCGACAACTGATGTAGTAAACTCCTCAATGCCATCGGATGAATCCCGGAACATATTCCAGTCTGTGCTAGTAAAACAGTCCTGTAGTTTAAAATCCGCTTCATCGGACCACTTCCGTATTGAGCGTATCACAGGTACTTCCTGTTTGATTTTTTGCTTGTAAGCAGGAATCAGGAGGATAAGTTATGGTCAGATTTGCCAAATGGAGGGCGAGGGAGAGCTTTGTATGTGTCTCTGTATATGGAGTAAAGGTGATTTAGAGTTTTTTTTCTCCTCTAGTTACATAGGTGACATGCGGATTTCAGTTTTCCTTCATTAAAATCACTGGCCACTAAAGCGCTGCCTCTGGATGAGCATTTTCTTGTTTGCTTATGGCCCTATACAGCTCGTTTAGTGCAGTCTTAGTGCCAGCATCGGTTTGTGGTGGTAAATAGACATCTACAAAAAATATATACTGTATTAAAACTCTCTTGGTAAATAGTATGGTCTACAGCTTATCGTGAGGTTCTGTATTCTAACTCAGGCAAGCAGAACCTCGAGACATTACAGCGCCTTCAGAAAGTATTCAGACCCCTTGACTTTTTCCACATTTTGTGACGTTAAAGCCTTTTTCTAAAATGGATTAAATAAAACATTTTCCTCAGCAATCTACACACAATACCCCATAATGACAAAGCGAAATACCTTATTTACATAAGTATTCAGACCCTTTGCTATAAGACTCGAAATTCAGCTCAGGTGCATCCTGTTTCCATTGATCATCCTTGAGATGTTTCTACAACTTGATTGGAGTCCACCTGTGGTAAATTCAATTGACTGGACATGATTTGGAAAGGCACACACCTGTCTATATAAGGTCCCACAGTTGACAGTGCATGTCAGAGTTAAGGTTAGGGTTAAGTTTAGGAGCTGGTTAAAGGGTTAAGTTTAGGGTAAGGGTTAAGGTTAGGATTAGGGGAAGGGTTAGCTAAAAAGGGTTAATGTTAGGGGAAGGGTTAGCTAACATGCTAAGTAGTTTCAAAGTAGCTAAAAAGTAGTAAGTAGTTGAAAAGTTGCTAATTAGCAAAAATGCTAAAGTGAGATAGTAAGTCATACTATCTCACTATCTGCTGCATTGAAGGTTCATAAGAACACAGTGGCCTCCATCATTCTTAAATGGAAGAAGTTTGGAACCACCAAGACTCTTCATAGAGCTGGCCGCCCGGCCAAACTGAGCAATCGGTGGAGTAGGGCCTTGGTCAGGGAGGTGACCAAGAACCTGATGGTCACTCTGACAGAGCTCTAGAGTTCCTCTGTGGAGATGGGAGAACCTTATAGAAGGACAACCATCTCTGCAGCCAGACGGAAGCCACTCCTCAGTAAAAGGCACATGACAGCCCGCTTGGAGTTTGCCAAAAGACACCTAAAGACTCTCAGACCATGAGAAACAAGATTATGTGGTCTGATGAAACCAAGATGGAACTCTTTGGCCTGAATGCCAAGCGTCACGTCTGGAGGAAACCTGGCAACATCCCTATGGTGAAGCATGGTGGTGGCAGCATTATGCTGTGGGGATGTTTTTCAGCGGCAGGGACTGGGAGACTACTCAGGATCGAGGCAAAGATGAACGGAGCAAAGTACAGAGAGATCCTTGATGAAAACCTGCTCCAGAGCGCTCAGGACCTCAGACTGGGGCGAAGGTTCACCTTCCAACAGGACAACGACCCTAAGCACACAGCCAAGACAAGGCAGGAGTGGCTTCGGGACAAGTCTCTGAATGTCCTTGAGTGGCCCAGCCAGATCCCAGACATGAACCCGATCTAACATCTCTGGAGAGACCTGAAAATTGCAGCAATGCTCACCATCCAACCTGACAGAGCTTGAGAGGATCTGCAGAGAAGAATGGGAGAAACTCCCCAAATACAGGTGTGCCAAGCTTGTAGCGTCATACCCAAGAAGCCTCGATGATGTAATCTCTGCCAAAGGTGCTTTAACAAAGTACTGCGTAAAGGGTCTGAATACTTATGTAAATGTATATTTCCGTTTTTTTTATTTTTTATAAATTAGCAAAAAATTCAAAAAAACTGTTTTTGCTTTGTCATTATGGGGTATTGTGTGTAGATTGATGAGGGGAAAAAAACAATTTAATACATTTTAGAATAAGGCTGTAACGTAACAAAATGTTGAAAAAGTCAAGGGGTCTGAATACTTTCCGAAGGCACTGTATGTACAAAAAAAGTTCAAATCAGCGCAAAAAAACCACACAAAATTGCAGAATTGTTCAGGTGCCCATAAAACGGCAGCTATGCATCCCAGCGCCATCTTATTACATTTGTTCATCTTACTGTCCCTCCTGTTTCTAATCTGTCTAAATAAAGCATTGAAAAAATAAAGGTGGAATTCCACAAAAAACTTTATTCATAGGCCCTTATCATCAATCAATATCTAGGCTATAAACCATTTGCATTTTTAAACCATTGATTGTATGAGAAACACAGTTTTTGTGTTTTGATGATGCCTTTTACATGCACTGAAACCCTCCCCCCCAAAAATCACAACACTCTCTTAAAAACACCAATATTAAGGTTGAAGAACCACTTTGGGTGTTTCAGAGTACTTAATTTCTGTTTTAAAACACATTCTGTGCAATAAAACACTTACAGCTCAGCTGCACTACTTTTCATTTACATTTTAGTCATTTAGCAGACGCTCTTATCCAGAGCGACTTACAGTTAGTGAGTGCATACATATATACACTGCTCAAAAAAATAAAGGGAACACTTAAACAACACAATGTAACTCCAAGTCAATCACACTTCTGTGAAATCAAACTGTCCACTCAGGAAGCAACACTGATTGACAATACATTTCACATGCTGTTGTGCAAATGGAATAGACAACAGGTGGAAATTATAGGCAATTAGCAAGACACCCCCAATAAAGGACTGGTTTTGCAGTTGGTGACCACAGACCACTTCTCAGTTCCTATGCTTCCTGGCTGATGTTTTGGTCACTTTTGAATGCTGGCGGTGCTTTCACTCTAGTGAAATCATGAGACGGAGTCTACAACCCACACAAGTGGCTCAGGTAGTGCAGCTCATCCAGGATGGCACATCAATGCGAGCTGTGGGAAGAAGGTTTGCTGTGTCTGTCAGCGTAGTGTCCAGAGCATGGAGGCGCTACCAGGAGACAGGCCAGTACATCAGGAGACGTGGAGGAGGCCGTAGGAGGGCAACAACCCAGCAGCAGGACTGCTTCCTCTGCCTTTGTGCAAGGAGGAGCAGGAGGAGCACTGCCAGAGCCCTGCAAAATGACCTCCAGCAGGCCACAAATGTGCATGTGTCTGCTCAAACGGTCAGAAACAGACTCCATGAGGGTGGTATGAGGGCCCGACGTCCACAGGTGGGGGTTGTGCTTACAGCCCAACACCGTGCAGGACGTTTGGCATTTGCCAGAGAACACCAAGATTGGCAAATTCGCCACTGGCGCCCTGTGCTCTTCACAGATGAAAGCAGGTTCACACTGAGCACGTGACAGACGTGACAGAGTCTGGAGACGCCGTGGAGAACGTTCTGCTGCCTGCAACATCCTCCAGCATGACCGGTTTGGCGGTGGGTCAGTCATGGTGTGGGGTGGCATTTCTTTGGGGGGCCGCACAGCCCTCCATGTGCTCGCCAGAGGTAGCCTGACTGCCATTAGGTACCGAGATGAGATTCTCAGACCCCTTGTGAGACCATATGCTGGTGCGGTTGGCCCTGGGTTCCTCCTAATGCAAGACAATGCTAGACCTCATGTGGCTGGAGTGTGTCAGCAGTTCCTGCAAGAGGAAGGCATTGATGCTATGGAATTGCCCGCCCATTCCCCAGACCTGAATCCAATTGAGCACATCTGGGACATCATGTCTCGCTCCATCCACCAACGCCACGTTGCACAGACTGTCCAGGAGTTGGCGGATGATTTAGTCCAGGTCTGGGAGGAGATCCCTCAGGAGACCATCCGCCACCTCATCAGGAGCATGCCCAGGCGTTGTAGGGAGGTCATACAGGCACGCGGAGGCCACACACACTACTGAGCCTCATTTTGACTTGTTTTAAGGACATTACATCAAAGTTGGATCAGCCTGTAGTCTGGTTTTCCACTTTAATTTTGAGGGTGACTCCAAATCCAGACCTCCATGGGTTGATAAATGTGATTTCCATTGATAATTTTTGTGTGATTTTGTTGTCAGCACATTCAACTATGTAAAGAAAAAAGTATTTAATAAGATTATTTCATTCATTCAGATCTAGGATGTGTTATTTTAGTGTTCCCTTTATTTTTTTGAGCAGTGTATATATTTTTTTTATATACTGGAATCGAACCCACAACCCTGGCGTTGCAAATGCCATGCTCTACCAACTGAGCATCCCTGCCGGCCATTCCCTCGGCTACCCTGGACCAATTGAGATCCTGGATTCGAACCAGGATCTCTAGTGGCACAGCTAGCACTAGCAATGCTGTGCCTTAGACCACTGCGTCACTCGGGAGGAGTAATGTGTTCATTACACAATAATGGTATTTTGAGACTTTCTATTTTTATAGTTTAATAATGACTTACTATCTCATAATTATGACTTACATATCTCACAATTATGACTTACTATCTAATAATGATGACTTAGTATCTCAATACGACTTACATATCTCACAATTATGACTTACTATCTAATAATAATGACTTAGTATCTCAATATGACTTACTATCTCATAAATATGACTTAGTATGTCATTATTATGACTTACTATCTCATAACTCGTGGTCAGATGAAATGTTTCGGGTGGCGGGAACGGGCTTCCATACATGTCTCCTGTTTGGGCCTACAACAAAACATGAGTGGCATGAAATATGTGACGTAAGAGAAAGGGGAATTGCAGCGTTATCTACAGACAACATGTGGACTTCAGTGGGTTTATTACATGAATATATGCAGGCTACACACTGAACATAGGTAACAGGTCCTTACCAACTGGTTTGAAATCTGCAGTTTACACAGCCTGGTCTCATAGACTTGACATAACATAGTAAATGTAAATCAGGGACACTCAAATTAGTATGATATGTTACGTTTGGTATGGTTACATAAGACAGATGGTTAAATTAGGCAAAAATGAAAGTAGGGTGGTTGGTCTGGATGGATGGGCGTATAACGCGAATCCTTAGGTTGCTAGTTCGAATCTCATCACAGACAACTTTAGCATTTTTGCTAATTAGCAACTTTTCTAACTATTAGCCTAGAAGAAGAAGTTTAAATGTGCAAGTCAAAGAGAACCCCACCACCACCTGCGCACACCTCTCTGCACATGGTCACACCCCGCTTTGAAACACAGAAATGCACACATACTGGTAGGTCCTTATGACTTGCAATAGGCCATTCTGAAAAACTGACTGGTCAAAGTTATGTCCTCAATCATCCCTGCACCAGTGTGCGCCTACAGAACGACACAGTAGCCAGGCTAAGAATCTAAGAATTTAACTCCAGTGTTTGACAAAGAATTTCGATTGTACGCCTAAAACGTATTTTCTTTATAGTCATAGATAAGTAGCATAACCTTTACAAAACTTACCAGTGTGCACTCTCAGGTGGGCTTTGAGGTGGGATGACTTGCCATACATCTTCCCACAGCTGCTGAATGGGCAACAATGTATCTTCTCTGGGGACACGTGCATATTCACAGCCTTCCTGATCTGTGACTGCTTTTCTGCCGAGTTCTGTTGCGCCCTTGCAGTACCCCGACTGTCCCTGCTCACCCTGTGACCACACCGGTGTCCGTTAATCTGGCTGTTGGCATCACTTTGGCCCAGACATTTACTACCCCCACCACATGTCCCACTGATTGTGTTCTGGTTAATTTTTTTCAGGTCGAGCAAAATCATCGCCACCATTAGCAAAGTCCGGTTTTCTTGGTTCTCTTTCGACATGTCTTCTGTCGGTTTGGCATCGGGACAACGGTCCACCGGTGGCCGGTTAGAGATGGAATCTAAACACTGCGCAGCGAGATCAAACTCCGACATTGCCGATGAAAAAATCTGTTCTCTAAACGGATGCTGCTATATTCGGCTTTAATAAATCGACTCTCCTTGTGATTTGTCAGGAAGCTGAGCTATCTTCACATCGCAGTGATTTCAGGAACCATGTGGGTTTTTAGTTATACTTACTTAAATGGAAAAAATAAGCACCCTTTTGGTCTCTAGCCTACTAACTATATAAAACTAAACTTTAAAAGTCTTGCGGTTTGTTTTATTCCTCTGTAGCCTGTATGGAATAAATACGGTCCTGGAATAGTGTAGGGTCTGCTGTCCGCTTTCTCTCCTCACCACTGCGTCAATTTGTCCTATTTTAGACGTACTGCATGGAGCAGTTCCCAACTCCAAAAAACAAATTCGCGGAATCCCAGGGTGTCATAATAAAACAGGGCTGCAATTGGCTACGAGTATAGGTGACGGATTTTTGTGTAGGCTACACTACTTGGAATGGCCCGTTCATTGATTGATTGACGGGATGGTGGTCCAATCACTGGATGAACAAAATGACAAGGGAGCTGTTGCTGTCCTGCCATATTGGGCGGATTCAATTATGCTGATCCGCGCGGCTATGGCCCGTGACGAACGGGGAAAGGGGGTGAGGGAGGAGCGCCCTCTCAAATTGAACAGTAATCTGTGCCCCTCGGTCATGTTGTCAACAAGGCTGCCTGGTGCATCGTCCAGAAACATGCAACATCTCTTTTCCATAAGTACGTTTTTATGGGGAAGAACAGAATCCTAGTCATTACTCCACGTGGTTAATTACGTCACTTTTCTTTTGAGCCGACATCGGCAGACGCCATAGGCTTTGAATGGGGTACCTGGCTCACGCCCCGGAGGCAGCCTGGTTTCAAAAGTGCAATCAACTTCTACCCAGTGCAAAACATGCCTACCCGGGCGCCAAGGCCAGATTAATCAAATCCCCTCAATCCACACACGTGTCCTTTTTGGCACATGCTTATTGCAACATAATTTGTCGAACTCATTGCCCTAACACATTTCTTGAGCATGGAACACGTTGTATCTTTAAAGTTTAGAAGAACAATTCTGACTGTAGCTTACCTTTTACTTTGAAAGTTATTTCCTTTAAAGCTCAGGGTTATAATAATTAGGCCTATTGTATTTTTTATTAGCGACAGTGTGTCTTCATGATGTTTCAGACAACATGTCATGTGGTTTGTCATTTTACACTCAAGGAAACCCACTCCTTTGAAACAATATTGCCCTACTTGAGTTGCAGATAATAGCCTACTTTTCGATTAATAGGGCCTACTTTCCAATTTGACAATCACGACATACCCAATTGCAACTAAGGTATGCATGCAAATGTTTAGCCCTGAGGTCCAGGTCCCGAGAGGCAGGAGACATCAGCCAATGAGGCTGCTTGTAACAAAAGCCTCTCCAAATGTAAACCCCTTTCTCCGAGTTCGCTCAAGGACCCTGGGATGATCTCAATTGATCTCCTCGCATCCTCTCTCCTCGTTTCCGTCTCAAAACCTATTGGAGGAGAAGGTCAGAGGGGCGGGACCTCTGGCTTTCTTACCAAATGGGTTTTGAGAAGGAGACGAGGAGAGAGGACGCAAGGAGATACAATTGAGGTTTTCCCACAGTTCGAAAAAAAAACTAGTCGCTTCCGCTGCTTGAGTCCTCATGAAACGTTGTGGTAGCCTGTTGGTCCCGACAGCAATAGCCACGTGCCAAATGCGTTAGTTAGGCTAGTGGTCTATTCCATTCAGGATACAGTAGGCCTATGCTACACCATTGTGTCTGTTGTAGGCTAAACATTGTTTGATGGGTGTGACAAAGTGTGAACATTTACAACTGGCATGGGACCGATAGTAGCCTTCCACGTCCGCTACAAACGTGTTTTGGAAAATATGGACATGATGACCAGGCGTACTTCACCAAAACAACCCGCAATTCAAATTAGACGTATTTATCAATGAAATTATTCTATCCTATGTTTCGGGTTTATAGCCTATGTAGTTTATCGTCCTAGGTTGGCTAGACTCTAACCTAATATCAGATTGAAATTAGACTATAGCCTTCTCATCATAGGCTATAGTGGGCATAAGAGTGTGAATTAGGCTACCGCCTGCCTTTTCATGATATATGCCCTATTCCTTCTACTACCAGGGTTGCCAGGTCAAGCTCAAATAAAAATAAAAATCACTATGACATGCTCAGTTCTTGGGTCTAGGGGCTCCCGGAGTGGAAATTTGAAATGGAAGTTATGGAACTCCCTCATGTGGTTCTTTTTATGGGGAAAAGTCCTCAATGAAACTGACATTAAATGTGGAGAATGATACATTTGCCTCTGTTGGCCTATTCATTTATATGTCATTGTAGGCTACCATTTCATACAATACAAATGTTGAAATTACGATATCACTGGAGTCATTGCAAATCAATGTGCCACTTGTGTAGCCTACATGGAGCTGGAAAACCAATTTAATAAATAGGCTATAACTTCAGTTTATTGTTGTTGTAGCCTTGTGTTATTATACAATTATTAATGGACATGTTTAGTTAATTAAATTGGAAGTTATCAAAGCGCTGTCGCAACTGCCAATCAGTTGTTAGAACGCATTAGATTGACGGTAAAAATAGTCAGATTAGGCTACAGGTTAAAAAAAATAAACACTGGCTGTTGTTGACAAGCATATCCAGTTCATATACACTGAACAAAAATATAAAGTGTTGGTCCCATGTTTCATGAGCTGAAATAAAATATCCCAGAAATGTTCCATAAGCACGAAAAGCTTATTTCTCTCAAATGTTGTGCACACATTTGTTTACATCCCTGTTAATGAGCATTTCTCCTTTGCCAAGAGATAATCCATCCACCTGACAGGTGTGGCATATCAAGAAGCTGATTAAACAGCATGATCATTACACAGGTGCACCTTGTGCTGGAGAGGTCACTCTAAAATGTGCAGTGTTGTCACAGAACACAATGCCACAGATTTCTCAAGTTTTGAGGGAGCGTGCAATTGGCATGCTGACTGCAGGAATGTCCACCAGAGCTGTTGCCAGATAATTGAATGTTCATTTCTCTACCATTAGCTGCCTCTAACGTTGTTTTAGAGAATTATGCAGTACGTCCAACCGGCCTCACATCCACAGATCACGTGTATGGCGTTGTGTGGGCGAGCGGTTTGATGATGTCAACGCTGTGAACAGAGTGCCCCATCCCAGTTAGCAAAATGTATCTGGGCCGGACCTGGCCCACATCGGCCACTTTTGTATGGCCCACATGTGGTTTGGAATTAGGGCCCTGCAGTGGCCCAGATGCGGCAGCTGTAACTCAGTCAGAATTGACCCACTTTGTAACCGCATTTTAGCCAACAACTCAGCAAAGGTTCCCTTATTCTAGCCAGAACAAGGCTGTACTGCCATAATGAAACCGGAGGTCTGCCATAAGAAAGCCTAATTTGGGACGCAAATTTTAAGAGACACTTTCTCTGGGCTAGATGCCCTTGTGAAAACATTCTACAACAATAAAGACAGGGTTGGACTGTGATTTGCACATTTTATTCACAAGCAAAAGATAATACAATGAAAAACTACAGTGTGGCTATTCTTGAGCTACAACCCCACCTTTGGTAGGTCCGGATAGGACCAAGTAACAATCTGATTCACAAGTTGAAAAATCAAATTACAGCAGTTGAAGGACAATTTCAGTATTTAGGACACTAATCTGTATTTATCATATAAATGCCATGTTATATAAGGGTTATCATCAGAACCCCACCAAGAGTATCTAAATATTGCCCAACCTCTCCCTTCTTTGTCTACTTTCCTTGCGACCACTATTTCGATCCCCTGACAGATGGAACCATCTTTTGACACTTTTTTCCACTTCTTTGTCGGTTGCGTAGGACGTAAGCTGGTTTGTCCTCACCGCAGCTTTAAATGAAAATTGGGGAATAAAGAATCATTGGTTTATTAGATGTTTCTTTCTATACTTTCTAGTATTCATGAAGGACTTTGTCAACAGTAGAATATTAACTTACAATGAACTATCTCTTTGAGCTGCAGTTGGCAGAAGGGCACCTTTCCATTGATTTCCCCTCCAGTTCATGGTCTTTGAAAGATCATGGGAGATTATGTGTGCCATGATCCTCCACACACTCTCTTTCACATCAATCCCAAATAGTCAATCTGTAACCACAGAAAAGTGACCATAACATATAGATATTGTATGTCAATATTAAGTAATTCACCTAATTTTAATATCCTATCGGCTGCTGGAAAAACTAGTAACAGTTTTTTTCCAAGATCAAAAACACAAACACTATCTTCGTTTTGGATAACTAAGGTTCGATACAGATCTGGATATGTCTCAGCTAATAATACCACAAACTTTTAAAGCATTAACTCTCTGCTGGCCTTCAGCTCTCCATCAAGATGTTCCATTTGTTGAACACTGCCTACTGGAAAAACATTATCAGGTAGGTCTTCTTGCAGGACCCTCCTGCCTCTCTGGTCTTGAACGGATTGACAAATTATTCTAAGTTGTTCTAATATTATTTCCTGCTTTGTCAGAAGATTCAGGAGCAGAGCTGAAAAACATTAAGGGTCTTACAGTCTTTTAAAAATAAATAAACATTTAATAAACATAAACAGAACAGCAATCTTCTCCATGCAATAGTGATGTTTTTACTGTCATTGCGCTGAGAACAATTCCTGGTCTGCCCTCTAGTTTTGAAACATGTATATGTGTTTCAGAGTAAACTTAATTATTTTCAAAGTATTTGAAGACCAGAAGGAATCATGAAAGCCCAAAACAGATCTCTCTCTATTATACGTTTTTGAAAATATGTTGCTGTTGTAGGTCTTTGGTTGGGATAATTGAGCCTTTTGAAAACCCTGTCAACTACTGACCACCAACTCTTTCTGCGTATTTTAGGGTTGTCTTTCATAGTCACGTATTTTGACTTCAAATTGTGTAGATACTACACAAAATGTGTGCAGGTTTGTGGAAAGTT